AAAGCACGAATTAACCCACCTTACGTCATGTTGTTGCGCTCGATTGCACAGCCCAAGCCTCAGCGTCCAACCTTTTGGATGCAGAGCCCTTCCCAATGGACAGCCCTATCCCCAGCACGACCAAAAGCTTGGGAACAACAATCTCTTTCTGTGCGCGTGTGTATGCGTGCGTGCGTGCGTGCGTGCGTGCGTGCGTCACAGAGAGAGAAAGAGAGGATGGTGCGTCTCTGTGTGCGTGTGCTTGTGTGTGTATTGTCATATTCGCTCTACACTCAAAAGCAAGCATGACTGTGCCAGACTGTTTCGTCGGACTTTCACCGACTCGTCAGGAGGTTGATCCCCAACAGTCTGTGCGTGAGTATCTGCGCGTGCGTGTCTGGGCAGAGAGCGCAGAGTCCAGTCCACAACGTCTTGCAGTAGCTTAGAGGGTCGAGAGGCCGGGGCTGTGCGAACGCTAAAGTTGGTACTCCCACAAAAAAAAAAAAAAAAAAAAAAAAAGTTCGTTACTATATGTTCCACGTGGTACAGTTCGAGCGCTGGCCCTGTAGGCACCAGACTAATTTCCTGCCTGTGACAAGCCGACGATCGGGGCCCCCGATATTTAACTATCCGCTAATTTCCTGCCTGTGACAAGCACACTATGGGGACCCTCCGATGGATTGCTGCGCGACCATTTAGGCTGGCACCAGCCTAAATTTCCTGCCTGTGACAAGCAGACGATCAGGGCCCTCCGATATTTAACTATCCTCGTTAACCGGCCCCCCATTTTTCACCTCAATTTATAAGAAAACCGTAAGGTCATTTTAAGCAAACTTCATACGGATGTATAGAGTGCACTTCTTATTAACATATTATAAAAACAAAACAAAAAAACAAAAATTAAAAACATATAAAACAGCAAGCCAAAAGTGCATTTTCATGAAATTTTGGCCACAAAACTGCCATGAAATTTTCACAATTTTCACCACTCTTCACAACACAAATTCTAATACTCCAAATGACATCAAATTTGACACACAGAAAGCTTGTCCAAATAAAAAAAAAAAACAGGCAAAAAAAAAAATCCAAAAAAACACAAAAAAACCCTAAATTCAGGATCATTCAGGATCATTCATCGTTACCTAGGGCCGAAAAGTGGGGGTCCCTGTTAACCGCTTATGACGGGTCAGAGCGCGCTCGGAGTGAGGGGCCGGGTGCTAACGCTACACGAGTTCGGACAGAGTGAGGGGCCAGGCGCTAACGCTACGCGAGTTGCGCTATTCAGGTGGCGGTTCCACGCCGCGCCTCGGTCGGCCGGCCCCGTGTCTGGAAATGACACGGGTCCAACGGTCGTCGGCACGAGGTGAACTCACCATCACTAGGGTTGCAAGGAGTTAAGTCAACAATTTCGAGGCTCCCCCCCCGGCCACTTCTGTGGCCTAGGTTGAGAAGGGTAAGGAGCTCATCTAACATCAGACGACATACTCTTCCAGTTGGAAACCCGGAAGGGGTTGTCGGTTGCTGCAACCATACTCGCTCGCTCACATTAAGACCAAGCTCCGTGAGGACTGTCGAGATCGCTTACGAACACATTATTGGGAGAGTTTGGTGGCAAAAGCGCCTATCGAGGTGTTAGTGGGAACGCCAGAGGTGGTGTCGTAACCCTCCATCACCGCGGGAGCTGCCTTCAACCAGATTCCGAATAGGAAGAAGGTTCACTATACGAGAGAGGCTTCGATGGGTTCGTGGTTTCACGGCTGCAGACTACTCCCTTGCTGCCCAAGGGGTGAGGGACTCTTCGTGTGATTTCGACATTAAGTATAATAAACAAAAGAGTTGAGGATCGCGATTGACGTCAGCCTGATGAAGACGGGTTGACTCAACGTCCTCTTACTAGTTAATCTTCAGTTGTATCATGCACCCGCCCAAGAGGAGAGGATTACCATACGCCCTAACGGTCATCATCCACGATGGTAAATTTTCTTCAATAACGTTAGCCAAAGGGGGGGGAAAGGGTGCCTTATTTATTCCCAATGTGATTGAAGTTTCTGATTTAGGGAAGTTGGAGTATTAGTTTTAGGTGATTAATGTTCTCAATTTGTTGCGTGTTTTTTGTGTACTTTTTTGTTTGGGAGCGTTTTTTTTTTGTTGGATCAAAGGGAAGGATGGCGGGACCAGGAGCAGGATCCTCCTCTCCCGATCCCCACCCCCCCTTGATACCTCCACCAAGACATCCTAGCCCTCACCCTCTAACAAAGGAAGACAAAATCCGCATAAGGAAAACAATGTCGAAATGCTATACAGACGGAATTCTACCAATGGACTTGGTTCCAAATCAGGTAGAAACAGGCGAAAACTTTATCAAAGTTACAATCAATCCTGAAATGTATAAGGTACAAGTCTAATGGCTTAGGGAACATGCAGTGACTGTACTATTTGGCGATGATTCAACCTCCCTACCATTGGGGATAAAGCACAAACTAGTGAGAATCTATGAGGATGGATGAGCGACAGCAAGGTAGATCAATATTCCTCCTCGAAGGGGGTTGTTTCATAATAAAGCCAAAAATCTGGTCACTTATGTTTCATCCACTCGTGAAACTGTCTCCTGGATGTTGACCAAGGGGCACGTGGAAATTGAACTCGATAAGAAAAAATACACTCTACGTTTCAGACCCTAGATGACAAAAAAACAACTTTCGGAATGGAGGGAGGCCATGCGCCTTCCCTATTTCTGGATTCGGTGTCTTCAGGTCCCGATCATGGCGATGGACCTTTTTGAGATGTCAGTTAAACTTGCCTTCGGGTCAATCATGAAATCTCATCCACCATTTGCTACCCCAGGTTCCCCTAAGTTGAAGGACCTCAGGTTTGATCTTGAACCTTCAGCGAAAACGCGGTTAAAAGAATCACTTCAAATAGACCTTTTGGAAGATGGAATCGTGAAGGTAGATGTCGTCTGCGCCAGCACGTCCTGGTGTGAAGTATGTTGAAGATTCTACCACATTGTCACCAATGGAACATCCCTAAAGAGACAAAATCATAAGTTTTCTGGAGGAAAGAAAGACAAAGTGGAGAGCAAAAAGGAGGGAGGAAGAGAAGGTGTAGAAAAGATAGGTGATAATGAAAAGGGGAATGAAAATGAAAAGGACAAGGAGAGGGAAAGGGAGAAGGATAAAGGGCAAGGGAAAGACCAGGAAGGGATAAACGGGATGGAGAAAAAAAGAGGTGATGGAATGCACCAAGGGGGAAAAGAGGATACGGGAGGGAGAGTGGAGGGAGAAAGGGAAGGTGAGTAGGAGGAGGAAAAAATAGGAAGGAAAGACAACAAAGAAAAGTATGGGCATGACAAAGATACGGGGAAGGGAGGGAAGACAAATGTAAGAAATAAAGATAAGGGGAAGAAGAAAAAGGGAGAGAGGAAATAATAGATCAGGAAGAAGTTGCGAGGGGATGACAAAGAAGAAAAGGAGAAGGAAGGGTTTACCTACAAAGAAGGAAAAAACCATTAGAGAAAGGAAGAGGTACCAAGTGCATCAGAGATGAGAAAGGCAAAGGTAAAGGATTCCCTGCAGGTTTCTCCCTTCAAACCCACACCCGCTTGTACCCCCTTCCTTGATGCAGAAAAAGAAAGTTCATCTGGTAGGGAAATGAAGGTTGAAAAGGAAAAGGAAAAATAAGACGAAAAGGAAGACAGCGAAGAGGTTGAAATCGAGCCTAAGAAAGAAATGATCCGTAAAGGGGAAAGCATCAGAGATGTAAAATAGAGAAAAGATGCTAACTCACCGCTTGGACCGAAAACGGACACAGACTCTAAGACGGAGGAGGAGGAAGATGGCAAACTCATAAGAAGAACAAAAGGAAACCCTTCTCCAATATTAATAACCAGGAACTTAAGGGGATAGAATTGACACCAACTGTACTTTCCTTCAAGAACGAGTTGTGGGAAGGACAAGCCCCAACAGGGGCAAAGTCGGAAAACAGCCACCGCCAGGTAGAGAAGCTCACAGAAGGATTCGCAGGGTCGAATACCGAAGACGAAAATGAAGATTCGCCTGTTAAAGTCAACTTTGTTGATCCCCCTAAGAAACACAAATAAAAAATGAGCGCTCAATTTGTTTTTGCATCCCACGTTGTGGACGGGTACCAATGCTCTTCAGTAAAAAAGGCAAAGCTGAATAATATGAGTAGTATTGCTAGAAAAAAAACAGAAGACTTTCACACTATAGTTGCGCCTTTGATGACATCAAAAAACACCCCAAAGAAAAAACCTCAGACAACAAGGGTGGAAACCACTCTCTATCCTTGGTAGCTCCAATGAGAACTATGCCGAGTACAGACAAGGCAAAAGCCAATGTCACTAATCCTTTCGAACTCACCACAGGGAGTGATGGTACTCACTAAGAGGCTAAGAGATGAGGGYTTGGAAATACCTTCCCTAATTGTGCACAGTCAACCAGCCGAGTCTCAGGTCTATGACYTGACCAAGAAATGGATATTGAACMAGACGRGAACAGTAACCTCAATACCAAACTTCAAGGTYTTTCATCACCTGTTGGTCTTACCAACAGAAGAGACGATCATTCTACATATCTCTTTATTGGGCCTAAAAACAGTTTTTGAATCCTTCGAGAAATGGTGCAACTTGAAGATATATTGGTACCCCTCAATGGATTTCGTTACAAACAAACTGGAATCGGTAAACGATATAAGACTTGTCGAAACCCTGTTTGGGAAAGAGATTGCTAAGTGGATCTTGCACACAGACATGCAAGAAAGATTAAAATATGAAAACAAGACCTAAAAACTACAAGCATCGAGACTCAGTCAATTATTCAAGTTTTCTCCCTTTTGGCAGAAGGGAGTGTCAATTGAATCCAACCCGAAAGTGGTATGGACCCTTTCAATGGTCCTGCCTAATAGGGTAAGAGTCGTGTCTTGAAATATTAGAGGACTTGGTGATACGTCTACAAAGGCTAAAAAACAACGTATAAAGACCCGACTGTTTTCAAATGCAGCTCGCACTGTGGGTTTGCAAGAGACTAAATTAGACGGGGGAAAAATCGCAGAAATCTCAGGATGGTGGGAGGGGCCTCAGTTTTGG